TGCGGGCGCGTGTGTGCGTGCGTTCAATAAAATGTGGCATGCGCAGTGGCGATCAACGCCATCTGTTGAAGCCACGTGGTTAAACTTGGTCTGCGCATGTCCGAACGCATCGATTTTAGTTTACTCCTGGATAATAAATGCATGTACACGACGGCGTGTTCTGTTCATAAATAGCGCACCGGCTCTTGCCTTTTTGGTAGGTATCGAATTAAGGCTCGTTACGCCAGGTGCGAGCAGATCTATAACTGTCCGCATGAATTGTATTATTCGGGGTAGTTGTTTACGATTATTCATTGTTTAATACTTCTTGTGCGTTTATTAGCCGATGCTGATGGCTTTGCGAGAAAAATTATGGCATTATTCATTTTTAATTACATAAACCGTATTGGGAAGACGTTAAGACATAGCTATAAGTCAATGAAGAGACAGGTACTCTTAAAATTATCATTTTTAAAATCATCTGTCCGTTAATTCCTGATTCAATATGAGCACGGACGAATAAGTAAGTATAGATAGATTATCAAAATATTGATAAACTCCTCCTTGTTAAGGTTGACTTTTGAATGATTGGGTGAGTATGAAAGAAACGAGCAAAAAAACCATATTAAAATTGGAAAAAATAAACACACGAATGAGTCTCGTTCGGGTAAGTACCCCGGCCCGACAGAAGACCCGTGTGAAGTGGAAATGTGAAAACAAGAGATTCCACCGCGTCATGTACGACCACAATTTCCAAAGTTTGCTTGTAGGAAGCGATAAAGTCGTAAATGATAAAAAACAACTCGATTTTTTCGAGAATTCTCATTCGAAATTGGTCAACATTAAAAATAATCGTCTTTCGAAAAATGGGCTGGTTAATAGGAGAATATAGTAAAAACAGTATAGCAAAGTAACAGGCTATAATTACATATTACATACATTTCCCACTGCTGGGCAAAGGCTCCTCTGTGGAGAGGGTATCAGTACATAGTTCACGCGGCCCCACTGCGGATTAGTGGTCTTTACATATTGTCGAAATATTTTTTTGTTATTATTTAAAAATTAGCTGGTTTCCTTATGACTTTATCCTTCACCGATGAGCACATGATAAGTCAGCACTTAAAATGAACAATTTCATTGGTGCCGGCACCGGGGATCGAACTCAGGTTTCTCGAGTATGTTGAATTACAGGCGAGCGCCCGGACACTGAGTTATCAACGGCTCCGAAAAATATAGATGTTACAATAAAGTTCCAGTAGTAGAAGCACGGCTCCGAAAAATATAGATATTATAATAAAGTTGCAGTAATAGAAGTATTCAACCTCAGTCCAATAATAAGGCGAGAAGGTGATTAAAATATTAAGCATCGACAGGAGTTTCAACAATTTTACGGTAGACTTGTAGTCATCGGCTTTTGTAGTCACCGGAGTAACGAAAATGACATCAGCTGAAACAGCATACGATTGCCAAAATTAAAAAGTAACGTTAAAAGTAAGCTTAACGACAGTACGGATGCAAAATAAATCGCAATTTCGAACTTATTACTTCCTCTGGGTAGTTCCATTGTCGATTGTGGTCCCAGCCAAATCGCGAACCTTGATTTAAGGGGCACTGCGTGTCGTGCAATTATTTGTCCTTCTTTCGTCAACACGGGTTGCGGAGGTGCAGTGGAGCGGACGCCATCGCCCTGTCTGTGTCGTGCTCCAGCCACGTCGTTTCTCTGGAGAAACGCAGGTATTACTCGTGATCTCTTCCGACAAAGTTGCCAAAGATGCCGGGCTAACAGTGCAAAATATAAGCTCATTTCCTAGTGCGTTTACCACCTTACGGTGGTAGGGCCACGCAGCAGCCTCGGCCGTTGCACGAATGGGCAGGCCCGTCCGGGTAAGTACCACGACCTCACAGAAGACCAGCGTAAAGTGGAAGTATGACAATACTTTCGCGTTTCGTTGGCAAGTGAGGTAGCCGGAGCCCAATTTTCAAAAGGTTGTCAACGCATTTGCAACCTCGGGTGTGCAGATGTCCATGGGCGGCGGTATTCACTTATCACCAGGTGAACCGTCTGCTCGTTTGACAACTTTTCGCATAAAAAAAACACAGGTGATTTGGTGGTCAAGAACTGGTCAGTTCTTCGGTCAAACATTTTACAATTATCAAACTTAATATTATGTATATTAAAGTTTACTTCAACGATATAAAAAATAAAATATTTTAGGATATATATTTATGATATACACTTTCTCTAGTCCCAAACGCTTGTACTATGGGTATTAGACAAGTGATGAACATACTTAAACATATTTTTCTTTTGTAAATAAATGCAAACACTATGTTCATCATAATTATCATATCATCATAATTTCAGCCTGTTTGAGTCCACTGCTGAACATAGGCCACGAAGTACGATCCTGAGCCACCTGCATCCATCGACTTCCTGCACACTTGCACAGGTCGTCATTCCATCTAGTGGGGAGTGGGGGGTCGCCCCACACTGCGATGGCCAATACGAGGCTGCCACTCGACAACCTTTCTTTCCCAACGGTAATGGGTTCTACGAGCTTACCGTGGCCCATCGCCACTTCAGCTTACTAACCTTCTGAGCTATGTCGGTACTATGCTCTACTATGTTCGTCACACAATATTTTTCCAGTAGTGCGGATCGAACTCACATCGTTTGGTGGAAGAGGCAGTTTCACTACCCACATTGCCAATGGGGTCGTCATCTATATTACTATTTATTAAAAGCGGTAATAATTGACGCGTCCGACCGGGTGCGTGACGTTCCACGTTCCACGACGATAAAAAGCGTGTACGCCCGGTTCCTACATTAACAAAACGAGGCGTTTTCCTTACGAGTCGTTGCATTAGTAGAGTTCCTTTAATCTACAAGGTACAAGTCGATATGAAAATTACGAAGCTATGTAACTAACGGCCGTTCGTTGAATATAAGAACCGGGCATTTGTCGTGGCAGCGGGGCTTAGTAGCCATAGTTTGATCACTCACGGTGAAACCAAGAGGAACTCACACTGGGCCGGATTGGAGTGCAAGGTCGCGTGCTGGGAAATTGCGGGGGATATGTTGAGGGTGATAGACGAGGAGTCACTCTCCCTATCTCCTGCAACCGAGGTGGAGTGTTGGTATTAAATTTGGCTTCTTTCTCTATCCTCCGGAAATCGGCTGGACTGCACCGCTGATGCAGTAGAGGTGGTGCCGCGCGGGGAGGACTGTCGGTATCACTATGATATAAACGATATACATCCCAAACGCGGAGGATAGGGAGAACGTGGTGACTCTTGATACCGCAGACCAGTTTTACCACTGCAGGCTGGGAGGCTTGCTGCTTATTAGCACTGGCTCTCCTGGTTTCCATGGCCTCTGGTAAACTAACGGGAAGTTCGTTGGACGTGCAAAAGGGGCGGAGTAAGAATGCGTGCTGAATCTTCGAGCGTGCCTTATTTGAGAGGGAAGTTACTCCGAGTGAAGGGACTACTTAGGTCGCCAGCACCAGCAAGGTCACGGTAATGTGCGAAAGCGCTCCCGTGGCCCCGACGATATGTGCCTTAGGTGGAACATTGCCCGACATAACCCGTCCTTGCTTGCTATTCTTTGGCATTCCTCCCACGTTAGAAGATAGGATGGCAATTGCGTAGGAGGTTAACTTGACGGATGGTACGTAAAATCCGCTTTCAACACCAGAAAAATTGCAAGCGAACTACGATTTATGTTTAAATACTTTTATTTCACGCCGGTGTTCAGTAAGGCCGTGTTAAGTACCATGTCTGCCTTATTCGTAATCAAACCGGCCTTATACTGCATTGCGCTGAAAAAGAAGTGAAACTCGTTTAGAAATCACTCAAGGAGATAATGACACCTCCTTAATTACTTTCTTAAACGTTAGCCGTTCGTCAAATTACCGTTCAATGATGCCAAAGACTGTACTTTGTGTTAAATTAAGATGAAAATTAAAAATTTCAATGTTTCTAAATCGAATCAGAATCAAATCAGCGGTGGTGTTGCCATTTTTAATTAAAGCCTTGGGGCCAAAATTTTAGCACATTGGCTTTTAGATATAGGTATACAACCCCTAAATAGTGAAACGGAGTATTTGAAAATAGTTTGTCCACTCGACGAGAAACCTGACAGAATAGAATAAGCTAGTAGGTCATAACACTAATGTTTTTGAAACATTATTTTTGTATAAAAATTTTTAAAATCTTAGTCATTGTAGATTTTTTAATAGTCTTAGTTCTTTCTTTATCTTTATCACGTAGCAAGAAATTTTATTTTTGTCCATTAAAGATCTACAGCGTATAACAAAGTGCACTCCTACGGTTAAACTTTTCAGTAAACTATACATTGTTAAATGAAACTATTTAACGGAGGTAATCACGTTTTATTTAGATTTTTAATTCCCAACGTTTCGGACCCTTTACAGTGTTCATGTTGGCAGTCTCGTGACTAGTTTCATTTAACATCAAACAGTTATTAATCAAGAGATGATTACATAACAAATAATGGATTATAACGATGATGACCTTTTAAAAAAACCTCAAACGATACATCCTTATAGTTTGATAATGTCCGGCATTATTTCAAGTGGTTCATTAAATGTAATATAGTAAGGAATCTTACGGGTGATATACAAACATATAAAAAATTAAAATAAGGATATCGCAAGTTTTCACCGTTAGAACCAAGTTAGGAAGGACCACGTGAGTTAGGACAACGTAGCAGTCCCTGCTGTAGTATGAAACAGCGTAAAGTGAGAGGTTTACAATTTTTAATGTTTACCTCAACGCCCAAAGCAAAACTTTACGAAGACAATACCACCCCGCCTTCACTTTTAACACTATTGTTTTTATACTAATAGGTTGATGAATTTGCCGTTCCTCAGTACTGGCCATTTCAAACAAAAAAAAAGTTTTGATTGGCAATATTATTGATAACTTTGTACGCAATGAACGCACAATCCGTTATTATTGGTTTGCATGGTTTCGTTCTAGAAATTTTGACTTGAAAAATGAACATCATGGTCGACACTTCGGTAAGCAATGATGGATTAATGGCGATTTTATTTGGATACTCAATCTACCGCCGAGCTAGCAGCAGATGTTGATGTTAGCATCAAAACAATATTGTTCGATTTGCAAAGTGGCAAGGATTTGGCCAAAACGGGTGCCCCACGAACTGAACGATCGCCAACGCAACGTACACGTTGAGGCCTGCCTCACGCTGCTCAACAGCCACAGAAATGAAGGAGTTTTGAACCGAATGGTTGCGTGCGACGAAAAATGGATCCTGTTCGACAATTGAAACCGCTCAGCAAGTTGGTTAGATCCTGGTTCAGCACCAAGCAATGCCCTAAACGAAAGATCCCTAGAGAGTCCCCTAGAAAGGTGATGGTGACTGTTTGGTGGTCCAGTTCCACTGTGGTTCATCACAGCTTTTTACAAAACGGCATGAGCATTACTGCTGATGTATACTTTGAAGAACTGAAGACAATGATGGAGAAGATCGCACATCTGCAACCAGCTTCGGTCAATCGGTCTTCCCCGCTGCTCCATCCCGATAACGCGCGATCCCATAATGTACAGTAGACAGTTTCCAAGTTTCAAGAGTTGGGGTTGGAAGCTCTATCTCATACGCCATACTCAAAAGATCTTTTACCTAATGTTTATTTCTTTCCCGAGAGACCAGATCAGAGAGAGTACAAAATGCCTTTGAAGAGCTTGTTGCCTCCCGTACAGCTGATTTTTACAAGAAGGGCATCAATAAACTACGACTGCGTTCGCAAAGATGCATAGATTGCATGGGTATAACTTTGAATAACAGAAATAAAAAAGTTTGAAGAAAACTCATTCCATACAAAACGGAGACTTCATATTTAAAGTCCTAATTTAATGTTATTTCAAAGTTTTCGTAAAACTATTAATACTTTTGGGTCGAAAAAAGAAGATTAATTCCGTAACGTAAAAATTTTTATTATTAAGTAAAACACACTTTGAGAACAGGGATAATATTGGAAAATTATGTTTTAACTGTATAGAAACATAAAATCTATCTAGTTAGTTTATAACTATAAATGAATCTTAGGTTAGGTAATGTGGTTATTTGCAATAGCACATTGCTAATAGGCAAAACTGAAATAAGCCATTTCACATAGATCACTAAAATCGGAAAGTTATTATAAGTATTTTATTAACAGCTCATGTGCAATAAAGTTTTATAACTGGGTACAGTATCGTTGTCACTTTAAGTACTTATTTTTACTCGACTTGCATTGAGTTAACGTAAATATACTTCGTAAATTCATAACATGTTCAAAATAAAAGTAATATTGTATGTTATAACTGTATATTTCCAATATAATAAAAAAATATTGATTCAAAGGTAGAGCTATCTAGATAGCTCTATTCAAAACAGAAAAACTATTCGAAACTGATATAACACCGTCGAAGCGATAAGCTCACCGGTAAGGCACTGCCTTACCGGCATATAAAAAAACTAAGCAAACGTCAAAGCAGACATCAATGACGCAAAGGCAAATAGGCAGAGCTACGTCACGGGACCAGGGCACCATGAGCGGCGCGGAGGCGAAAGGCGCGCGGGACACCAGTGGTGGCTGCGAGGCGGTCGGCACGCCCACGCGCACGCCCCCCGCCGAGAAAGCTCCGTCGAGCCGGGCGATTGCGCTCCGGTGATGCGAAATGACTATTGCTAACGAAGCGCAGATTATAAACTGTGCTAGGAAAGCATAGAATATAGGGGTCTGCAACATATAACAGATTATAAATGGCAAATATCAAAAACAGTTTATAGTCAAAGCTACATTAGGAGATCACGGTGGTAACAAAACAAAGTAAAACAAAAATAAGTTTTTGTTTTACTGTTTTCGTTTCACTTAAAACGTAACTTACCTTTATAAATAAATAATGATACTTATTAACCTCCTAGGTATATCTTGATTTTAGTATTTGGATTTATTCATTGGTAGAGAAAGTACTAGAAAAACATTTATGGACCTGCGATATTCTGAAAAAGGTTTATGTATATATTTCATGCATCGTTTATGCGAGTTGTAAAAAATATCAAGAGGATGTGAGAGTTTTATAGGTATAGACCGCTTAATTGGAAAAGGTTTTTTGAACACCGAAGGGTACTGCCTCAGTTTGAACACAGAAATTTAATTGAGGTAGAAGAGTCACATTTTACTCCGTGCCAATTTGATTTTGGGAACATTTTTTTCTAGACCTTTTATTAGAACTTTGGCTTAAATATGTTTTTAACAAAAGACTACCTGGAGTGGATCCCAATCCATATAATTCTTTTTTCGCAAAAGGCTATTAATTTTATGTCTTTTGTTAGTTTTGTGAGTATTATAAATAACCGGCGACCCGCCCCGGCTTCGCACGGTTGCAATGTATTATATATATATAACTTTTCTCTTGAATCACTCTCTCTAGTAAATTACCACATTTTTAAAGTTCTAAGCATATATAGGGACAGACAGACAACGGGAGAACTTTGTTTTATACTATTATTAGCGACCCGCCCCGGCTTCCCACGGGTGCAATATATTATACATATAAACCTTCCTCTTGAATCACTCTATCTAATAAAAAAACCGCACAATTTCCACATAATGCATAATAAAATAATAGCATCCTTTAACTGTGGTCGGGCCACGCATCACCTTCCGTCCGTCCGGATAAGTACCACGACCTCACAGAAAATTGATGTGAAGTGAAAGTATCATACTTTTGTGTTCCGTCTGGTGAGTGAGCAAGCTGGGCCCCCCTTTGTTAAAAGGTAACGGCAACGCATTTGCAACCCTAACGGTGTTGCAAATGTCCATGGACGGCGGTTATTACTAATATTAGGCGAAGCGCCTGCTCACTTGCCACCTGTACTGTTAAAACTATATATAGTACACATAGCTTTAAGGTATGTAAGTTATTTGTTTTTTTTTATTCGATCGCAAAGTAAACCGCAGCTTTTATTTATTTAATCATTAGAACTTTTACACAAACAAAATTTTATATTTAATTTTAGAGACATTTACACCTGTCAATTAAAGAAAGAAACGGAGATAAAAAAAGGTCTTAAAAATAAGGGCTGAAACAAACTTTTTAATTCTTTATGTTTCCTGCACAAACGCTACAAAAAGTTCGAACGAAACAACAAAATTTGGGTCCCAAAAGCGTATCGGCGTGAACAGAGTCAAAAGTAAATCGCAGCCATTTTTACTTTTTTTCTTTTGCAATTAACGCGCGTCGGACCGAAGACAAAAGCGAGGAACAAAAGGGCGATGGGAGTAGGTACTCCTTCGCGCCGTAAGGAGAGGTCCGTGCGAAATTGGGAGGGCCCAAGTCGCGAAGGGTCCGCTGAGGCGTGGCGAGGCGGCGCAAGGGCGGAGCGCCCGCCTCTAGGTGGGGCTCCAATGCCCCGGCACAAGGCGCGAGACTTTCAACTTAGAATAGGGCTTCCCAGTAATGTTTCTAGTAACGCCAGAACTTTTCTAATCCTAGACTCCTTCCTTTTAGATTGTAGTTAATGATAGTGATGATGATAATTATAAATAGTTTAGTCATTTTTATTCATTACAAAAAAGAGAAAATGATGATATATTATGGCATAGGTAAAAATCGCCTAATATTACTTTTAATCAAAATATAAGAAAATACCACGGCTAAAATACTTTAAACAAAACTTCCGAAAATATGTTCCGCGGAATGACAGTGTTACGATGATAACTTGGAAATGCTATTTTATTATAGCATGTCGTAATTAAACGTTACTTATTAAATAATATAAATGCTTGGGTTTTATCTAATTTAAAGATTTACTGTGAACTTCTATTTTTTGGGTTCACAGTTCTCTTGCGCTAAATATTAATTAATTTAGCTCCGGATCGAATATGCTAATTAATTAATAAGCTTGGTTACGATGAAAAGTGTCATGCCCTATGTACTTATCCTAAATCTATGATTTCTCAGACTCAGGACTGGTCTGAGAAATAAGAAAAAACTGTTCGGATACGAGTACTTCGTTTCGAGATAGCGGATAAATGGAGCTACTATTTATATTATAAGAGTACAGTAACTTGTTTAATACTATGTCGAATTTGTGATAAGTATACTAATTTGTCCACATACAAATTAGTGAAGAGTAGCATCATACTACGTAAGAAGAACGTTTAATTTTATATCGATAAATAATAATTAGATTTTATTGACGCGCGGCTAAGGAGACGTCATTTGTAAGAAATTTACTAGTCACTCTATTTTTCCATTGGCGCCACCAATAAAAAAAAATGCTGACAGAAAATAAGTTTTTCCTAGAAAAAAGGGCGGAGCCCAAAAATGTTTGTATAATAAAGATGCGTTGCAAGCCCTTTGTTTTAGTAATATATTTATATATGTGTATTTTTTTGGCTGGATTAACCAATGCCTTGGGAGGCCTTTACAGATCCACCGGACTTGAGGTAACTTGGCGCTGTGGGCAACGAGCTTATATTATGAGTGACTCAGCTCGTTGGCTCCCAAAGGAGCCTCGGCTCAAGCCGTCACGCTATTATTTGTACCGCTTTGGGTGGCCACCAAGCTCTTAGAGCGCTTTGGCGGACGCTCCATGGAGTAACTATGCTCAAGAGCCTCCGAGAGGAACCTCGGCTTGGGCTGTTAGGTAGTCAGTACCCGTTTAGTATTCCGATCCGAAGGTGCCCGAGAGGACCGGACCTCGGCTCGATCGGTAGCTATAGTCTGACTGGGAGGATTTCTAAAGCTATCTTTACTACCACTTCAGAAATCCTTGGCGCTGAGAGAAGAATTGATGGAAGAAACTTCAGCAACACTTCTATCATAAACGAGGGAAAACCTGCTAGGTACGGAATCGGAACCTAGTATATGTTTGCCGCACTCGCCAGTGAATGCGGTGTGTTTCCGAACTTGCTTTATCCTGTTGATGGCGATGGTCATCTCATTGTCAGGGAAATCGAGAAACATTCATGGTCTAGACCATTTGCAGCGGAACTTACCTAGCGCTAAAGGTCTGTAGGTGACGACACCTAAGACGAGAGATAGGGGTGCGCGGCGGCGGACACGAAGTAGCCACGCGACGCCGACTTTAGGAATTGAGCGATGGTTGGCAGCTCTAAATGTACATGTTAGTCGATGTTGTGCATAAACGAGATTCATTTCAAATTCATCATAAATTTCGAGCTTCATTTTATCAGTCATCCGTTATTATTCGTGCAATTGTATTGTTCGTGCGCGTGGCGCATCCATTGTTATATCCTTTCCAGCTTACAAAAAATTTCAAATATCGTTTTACAACGATAATTCGAACGAGAGATATGGCCATCGTCGTTAAGACAATGTAGATAAAAGACGTTAAGATTTTCGCCAGTGTGACAACCAGCCGTTTAGCTTAGTGGCTAAAGCGTCAGGGCGCCTAACCCGAAGACGCGGGTTCGATTCCTACAGCGGCGACAAACTTTTCGTACTTTTTTCTACAATTTTTTTTTCTTTTAAAAGGTGTAGTGGGTTACAAATGCATAAAAGTGGATACCATCCCTTATAGTGCCTACCGTAGCCTCTCACTACCATAGCGCGAACCACGGCAAGTTCGCTCCACGGTCGTTGACAACGAGAGAGCGTAGGGTGCTGTCCTATAGTATGCGATACTGCGAAGACTGTATTATCCTGAAGGAGGCTGCGGAGAGATTAAGGAAGGCAACCCGGGGCCCCGGCCGATGCGACAGAGACAGGTGTAACGTGGGTTTTTAGTGGGTACCCGTTTACGGGACTCCCACATTCCCTGCCCGTCCCCCGATCCAGTGGCAAACCGGATTTGGTTTCTTTGACGCGGCTACATAAAAAAATTGTATTCGTATATAAATAAAAAGGACATTTTTTAAAAAACAAAGTATGTTTGTGGTTATGAACGCACGTAAGAAGTTATACTCCTTTAGTATAACAAAAGATAAATAAATAAAAATTGTATCCCCTGTGCCAGAACTGTTTGTTTGTAAAAAAGACATTAAATGCAATTGATATAACAGTTTATTTCAATGATGTTTAATAATATAGATGACACATGTCCATACTGCGCGACGTTTAAAAATTGTTTCGCTTTACGTTATATGATAAAATATTTTATATTTTAATACGTGAATGTGACAGATGATATAGAACGTATGATGTGGAAAGATATAGCAGTCTATGGAATTCCAGTCTAGTTACAACAATTGGTGTAATTCGAGTGTCTCAATTTCGACGCGTTTGTGTCATATCTTTGTAATATATCATTGGTTTATTTAGATAACTTGGTATCATAGGTAAATGTGAAAAAGTTATTGGTTGCCATGGTAATGCCGTGAAGTTTGTTGCCTTGTAACCTTCACGGTATTACCATGGTAACCAAACATGATAAAGTTGGCAACAATGCCGTTACCACCTCATCCCGACGAAATCCGTGATTTATGTTTCCGTTGGATTTAGCACTGACTCAGGCCCTCATATATTTTTTTTTTGTAATTTCTTACACTTGCACACACACACAATGCCTTTTTTTGGGTTTAGAATACTGTTTAAAATCCATTTATTTTTATTTGAATTGACCTTTCGAAATAATGTCTATAAAAAATAAACAAAAACCACGCTATGACGTGTGAGTATTGAGTTATGCTGAATAGAAAGTAGTCGGTCATTCGACGCAGGCTCAAGGTCATAACAGTGAGCTGACTACATAAATATGTACGCTAAAAAACTACATTAGATTTTAAGACTAAGTAATAATAACTTATGAAAGACAATATATACCTTTTTGATACGGTCCACTTTTCTGACTAGCTACAATTACTTGGGATTTTACAGACTTTTCACTTCAAAAGATCCCAGTTAATAGGAGAGTTGGAAAAGAGTGCCCAGTAAACAGCTGCTTTTAACAGATGTTCCTTAATTATTAGTGTTAATAACTACCTATACTTAGATTTTTTACAATTATTGAAAACTACAGTCACTTCCACTATACCGCCATCGTCATTGATTAGGACTGCAGTCTAGTGCTTAATGGTAAAATAAAATGTTTAACTGTATTTTTTTTCTCTATAAAAACATTTCCTATAAAGTAGCGTTGACATATTCGTCAATAATGTAGGGCTACGCTGGGAAGGTGCGGGTTGGAGGCGGATCCTGGAGAAACAAATTGGACAGCCTTTTCCGACAGCAGTTATACAGCGATGCTATCGTTCGTGGTAGCTCACTTACGAACGTATTAATTTTTATGCAAAATGTTGAGGTTTTATAAGAACGCGCAAGCGTCTATGTGAATAAATATATTTTTGATTTTGATTTTGTCCGGGTATTCAGAGTGGAGCGCCGAAAAAGGAGGCTACCTTTTGTGAGACTGTCGTCCAAAAGGAGGCTGCTGAGCGTGATCGGGAAAGAGCTGATCCCACCCGCCGGAGACATCGGCAGGCAGCTGGTGCTCTGTTAATTAAACGGGTTCTTAGGGCTGCAGGCTACCATGTTCTATTTAACATGATCGAGCGAGCGAGCACCCAGAGCTTAGGCTGCTTAGTGAGTCAGAGGGGCCGCGGTTGCGTTCCTTTAGGAGATTTTGTGCCCCCTCGCCTGAAGGTGACAAACGCGGGACTAACGATAGTTGATAGTAATCCGACATAACCTGTCTACACACTCTTGGTAGGCAAGTATCCTATGCAGGAAATCCCCACGACAAAAAAAGGAGGGTGCAGGTTTTCGATGGATGAAGGGGGCTCAGGATCCTACTCTGTGGCAGTCTGTGAGTAACGCTTATGTTCTATAACAGTGGACTAGGACAGGCTGAAATGATGACGATTATGAAGTTTGGAAGGAGGCAGGGTCTGCCTTCCAATGGAGCGGAACCATCAACTTCATATTGCACTAATCACGTGAATTATGTTGATACGTGTTTTTAATAAGCATGTACGTGTCCTTTCGGCTCAGAAAATTAACGAGCCGTAAATATACACACATAATCCAGATAGACTTTGTTGGCATAAGAAAACAATTATACTAAGATATAAGATATAATTGTGAAGGATCATAAAATGATTGTGAATAGATGTGTGGTAGGGCCGCACGTCTCCGCAGCAGGAATGGAAAGGTCGCTCATTAATTGTTGTAATTTATTTTCACCGACATCTATTTTAAACTCGATAGTAAATTTTAACCGCGGCTTTACTAACGACACTCTTTGTCAAAAAAATACAATTATACTTACACTGTCAAGTCTTAAATAGTCTTAAAACATTATATTAATTAAAACATAGCTCTTAAGGTGTTAACCCAGCTTGTATGTTATCGCTATTTAAATTAAATTTGGTTCCATTTAGTAAGTGCTGCGTGGAGGGTACAAAAACACTCACTCAAACAATAAACTCTTATATTTATGTTAATGCGATATATTTACATATCTGTATCATTTATAGCAAACTGTGTTCGTGAGGCAAGTATTTAATTCTCGAAGATAATCTTAACTATTGCATGCGCATCACGCTGTTGATTACATTTACTCAGAACTTAAAAGAGGCTACGCAGAAATTGAGCAAGTTCCAGTCAGTTAAGGCTGAGGGTCACCTGGCTGTTGAAATATTTTTGCGGTACCTGTGAAACGATCTCTACTCGGAATTTTAACTTCAGTTGTTTTGTACACTTTTAATGCTTGTAGGACGAAACTGGTCCTAAGATAGTAGACGTTTTTTTTTTTTACGTTTGGTACCTTATGTTTAAATACGTCGTTTTTGCTACCGGTTGTCTTTCAGTTCAGGTTTTTTTTATTCAAAGCAACCTTTTTTGTTCCACCGAGAAAAACATGGCGTTTAAAACAATTATTCAAATTGCTTGAGCAATTTAAAGTGAATCGAGTTTTTTTTGTTGCGTACCTTTAGTTTATATAATATATTTATTCAAACGTTTTACATTCTTAAACTTGAAATACTCTCCATACCTCTCAAATGTTTATTCTGTTTGTTCCCTGAATTTTATTATTTATGTGTTTGTATTTTGTACAGATAATCCCGCGAAAGAAACTATTGTCAAAATTCTAGTAAAATACATTCCACTATTGAAATAACTAGTGTTATTATCATATTATCATTATTCTAATGATAATATTATAATAACACTAATCGATAATGTTCAATCCACCTCATATTTTAGAGAGCCACAGTCGCTCTACACTTCTAGCGCTCTACACTTCCTTAAAGCTGTCCTTTTTTAGGTATTAAGAAAACTCTCTCTCCTTGTTCAGGTGGAGTTAATAGTCCTCAAATGATGGAGTTGGTTACTCCACCCAAAATTAAGCTTCGTACACATTTGTTTGTAAATTTTTCTATGGACTCTACCACAGTTGTGACAGCTCTACACAGAGTATCGAGAGTGTAATTATTGTTTTTTTTTAAATAAATATTTAGATCGGTCTTTGTCCTTTGTGTGAATAAGTCCTTTGTAATTGAGTTAAATCGTTCTAAACAAAAATATTCGTATGCCACGTCTAGTCTATTTAATCTTGCTATTCAAATTTTAAATATTATGGATGTTCGAAAAAATTATAGTGTCTCACAGTTGTAGTACGCAATTAAAGTAAAATGTCAAAATAAAAAATAAAAACATTTTATGAAGTTATTTTATTTTTTGTTTTTTAACCATGTTTCTGCCATTTAAGACTCGTCCTTGTACCAATTTTTAGGTGTTATAATGTATAGAAAACATTATTTAGAAAAGAAAATAAATTAAACACTTGTTGCGAAAACAATGATAGCTAGAATTTAAGCTCAATCCAAGCCATAATGAAAAGACCACGAAAGTAAAATTAAAGAAAAATAATATTTATAAATGTTGCAATGGTTTTATGAGTTTATTTTTAAACTAGAATAATTCTCATATACCTATTTTAGGTTTTCAAATTGAATATCGGCAATACAACGCTCTTACACTTTTCGCCGATGCCGCCGGAACAAAATTTTATGCGTTGTTGACAGTAAGAAATATCATAATAATAACTCTAAAACACATTGATAGTTATCATAAACGGGTCGAGGTCAAATATACCACAGTGTACAAATAACAATAATAAAAGGGAAGTATATTTTCTAACACAACATTTGGCCGTCGTTTAAAATTATTACCATTACAATCATGATTTGCCAAGGTAATCTCGATTAACCTTTTCTAAACATGACACGTTTAAGATTGTTAAAATCTTTAAAGATTTTTATACAAATTGGATGATTCAAAAGTATGTAATTATAAGTTATAATACGAAATAAGAATGTCAGCCCAACCCCTCCGTACAACGGGTTCGGCCGTTTAGGCCTAAAACAGCGGTTCGGCTTCCTGCGCGCCTGGTATCTTATACCTCGATTTACGAAATTCCTGTATTTTATTTTAATTAACTGTTTTTAGTTCCAATTCAATATAAACTTTATGAACGACTTTTGTTTTTATAGATAAAAAGAATTTATTACATTCAAATAGAAACCACATTAAATTTTTCAATTAAATATTTACTCGACTTTAGAGAAATAAATGAGTCCTTTGACCAAAGATTGTTGAAGGCAATTTAAAGCATAATTTAAGCAACATAACTAAGCAAAAATTGGTAATTTAAGGATAAATGTTTGCAGTAAAGCTACAAACAAAACTGCCGTACAAAATAGGCCTAATTTTTTCGGACATGATTATTTTTTAACTTATAGAATTAGTATAGACTTAGTCTCGATCTTCTAATTATTAAGAAGAAGAAGAAATTTTACACAGTTTTTTCTTCTATCATTTATGGCTCTTTTAATTTGACTAGAATCGGTCGCTTTCCCGCGGGGCACGAGCTGTAACACTTCACGGCTGTTCCCTTTAAAACGTCAATAAGGAACGTCGCCTTCTCTTTTTAATACGTGGAAGGTCTCCGTTAACTTGCCTTGTTTATCATTGGGGCGACGTTGCCAGCTCGCAGTCTGTGCCGCAAAGTGACCTTGTATTCGCGCTCTACTGACTTCGCTCGACGTTCAACGCTAGGTATAACAAACATTTACTATTTAATTTATGACGGCGGATTTTTCTTTTCAAAGCGGCTTTGATAAGTGAGCGAGTGAATAAATTAACTAAAGATAGAGGTAATTAATTGAAGGTCAAGAGTTTTAATTCTGTTATTAAGGCTAATAACTACCTGTTAGTAGTAACTACTAGGTATATTATAATGGTACGTTACACAACTATGTATGCAGATCTTATTATATCAACTTTTACGTTAAATAGCTACGTTAATATAAGGTTTATTAAATTTATTTATTTAATATAGGCTTATTTTAAGCTTTCATTAAACGTCAAAAAACTACCACCGGTTCACTAAACTAGACCTGTCCAGAGAAGAACCGTCAAGAAACTCTGCGGTCTTATTATCTTATTTTTTTAAATAACACAAGTTTACAACATTATAAGTATAAAATCAGCAGCAGCCAGGGGACTTACAAGTGCAGGGCAAGAGTCATTTCCACACATCCTTGTCCTCAATGTATTCTTCGACATTATAATTCATTCTTCAACATTCTGGTCATTAAGAAGATCATTCTGATCGATTCAGAGGGTTTAACCATTCTTTTGGCAACCCTAATGATATTTGAAAGTCCATTTGACAGCTGATTACCTAGTTAATTTCTACGATAGTCAGTGTTTCAGAAACTGGGCGTAAACCTCGGTATTTCCGACGGCGTGTCAACACGGCCCCGGCGCGATGTATGCTCAATGATCTATAGAAATAGTTTATCAGTTTTCCATCAGCTAAGACTTTTTGTCTGTCTACAATTTAAATTACTAAAAAAAAGTAAAACAAGAAGACATAGTGTCTTCTTGTTTTATGTCTTCTTTTTTTACTTCTAAAGATTTAACAGGACCGAAATGTCGTTAATGACGCTCGGGATGCATGAATTGGCTGGATTAAGTTTGAAAATTCTTTTAATGTGAATAGTGGGCAGTCGCGCAGTCAGGTCACAGTTTAGTTGGTAGAAAATGAAAATGACCACACCTGCGTCGCCAACCGTCCCGCATACTGTAATAGTATTAAATATAATACTCTTGCTTCCCATCGTTCTGTGAGGCCGTTGTTCTTCCGCATTGAAGCGGACATCGTATTAAAAACAGTGGTGCTACTCGATAACCGAAAAACATGCTGAAACGGAAATAGCGTTCATATACACCCCAGAACTTAATATGGAAGCACCTATCTGAATTCCTCATTTTATGAAACGTTACAATAGACGCCCCGTTATTGATAGAGCGATGATCAATGGAAGAAAATTGCCAATGACTGGAAGTAAAAAGTCATTAAGATGGGAGTTCTTATTTTTAGGCGAGCAGGCGGTTCATCTGATGTTAAGTGATAACCGCTGCCCATGGAGACTTGTAACTGCCGTAGGGTTGCAGATGCATTGCCACCTTTAAATTAGGTGGGCCCCG